ACTACTACTACTACTACTACTACTACTACTACTAATAATAATAATAATAAAGTAGAATTTTGCACTAAAAGTCATGGAAAAATAAGTTTCATTATTATTAACATAATCAGTGAAAAAGAAACATCTGCAAATATTGAATAATGTGGTGGATTGGAAAGAGCTTTGAGGAACACCACATTCTAAAGGCCATTGCATTTAATAGTGTTGCCCCAGCACCACCTCTTGGGTACACCTAACAGGAAGGATTGGAACCAATGCAATATGGAGTCCAGTACCTTATACAGTGGTGCCTCACTTAACGACGATAATCCATTCCATTTCCGTTAAGCGAAAACATTGTAAAGCGAACTTAAAAACCCCATTGAAATGCATTGAAACCTGTTCAGTGCATTCCAATGGGGTAAAAACTCACCGTCCAGCGAAGATCCTCCATACGGTGGCCATTTTCGCTGCCTGTATAGCGAGGAATCCATCCCTAGAAAACAGCGGGGAGCCATTTTGAAAGCCGGCGGCCATTTTGAAGCCACCCATCAGCTGTTAAAAAAACATCGGTTTGCAAAGAATCGGTTCCCGAAGCATGGAAGCGATCATCGCAAAGCGAAATTCCCCCATTTAGGCCATCATTTTGCAATCGCAATTGGGATCGCAAAAAGATTGTCGTAAAGCGGATTCGTCGTAATGCGGATCAGTCGTTAAGCAAGGCACCACTGTACAACCAGGTAGTCTAGGAAGATGCCATGGTCAGGGGAAATGAAAGTCATTGAGAGGTTCAGAAAAGCTGATATAGCTGTGCTCCCTTTCTGTAGTCCCTGGCCACATCTTAGTCCCATCTTCTGTGCAAAAGCCTAATTGAAATAGGCTGGCATAATCAGTGTCACCCAGATCTGCTTGGAACAGCAACACTGTCACCCACTCACCTATCTTAGTTAGAAGTGGTAAGCTGGTGCATAGCCTGTAGTTAGGTTTTTTGAATCAAATATCTTGACGAATAATGTCGGCAGCTGGAAAGGGCCTGGTAGAATACCGTTATCATTTTATCTTCGTTTTCTCACCAGGCAACTGAAAGCAGTAAAACTGTGAATTCTTTGTTAAGTTTCACAGCATGTGGCTAAAATTGATATGAAAGAACGATACAAAAAGGTTGGCGTACAAATGGTCTTTCCGAAAGTTCCCCCAGTAATGTAGCTCCAGTCTTCAGCTGGTCTTTCTGTGTGGTCCGTGCAAATTAGTTTAGTAGAAACTTGCAGTCTGTGCAGAAGCTCGTCGGAGTAGAGCTTACAGAGGCAAAGAACTCTTCCCTGTGGAGAGACTAGAGTACTTCTGCAAAAATGGAGCTATTATTTGGCAATCCATTGTCGTGTATCTGGCTTAACTGATTAGATAATCTAGGCTAGTTCATCCGTGGAAATTTTCAAGGAAAAAAACTGGTCATAGTTTTGCCAAATGTGTGTCCCTCCCAGATCCTGTTGGACTGCAGTTCTTTCCTCAGCTTTGGCCAAACTGTGAGGATGAAGAGTTGAGGTCCAACTCCATATACAGTGGTGCCTCGCTTAACGACGATAATCGGCCATTTTCGGCCATACGGTGGCCATTTTCGCTGCCTGTATAGCGAGGAATCCGTCCCTAAACACAGCGGGGAGCCATTTTAATCACCCGGTGGCCATTTTTAAACTGCCAATCAGCTGTTTGAAAAACAGGGAACCGAAGCAGGGAACCGATCATCGCAAAGTGAAATTCCCCCATTTAGACCATCATTTTGCAATCGCAAAAAGATATCGTTAAGCGGTTTCATTGTAATACGGGGCAATCGTAAAGCAAAGCACCACTGTATCTTGAGCACCAGACATTTGTCACCTCTGGCATGAAATATTTGGGTATCAAGCAAACAGTTTCTTTTCCCGGCTTTTTGGTTTTCCATTTTAGTTGACCGAGTGGCACTCAACATTCCATGATTTAAAGTATCTTTGGAGTACATCCAGTTCTCTTTCTCGTTTGAGGTGTTCTTCATGTTGCTGTTGTCTTCTAAAAGGATTTTTTCCCCTTCTGCAAACTATGGGATTCCCAAGGATGGCAGTACTTCCATCTTGTTTCCCTATTTTAATAATTTCTGCTGACACCGTTTACTGTTAGAGAGAGTGATGTATAGATAAAAAAAATATGAATGGCTCCTTGATGAACCTCCTTGTTTATGATGCACTTCTTTATTCCTTCCTTCCTTTTTTCTGTTTTCCCCACATTTATATACTTTGTAGTTAAAATATGGAAGTGGGCGTGTTGGCTAGGCAACACAAAAGCTTGCTCAGTTGACAAAAACATATACTGTAGCCTTTTTGGTGCCCTGAGATTTTGTGCTGTTTTTGCTGCAACCGATTAACATGGCTACCCTCGAGCCTTGAATGAGTTTCAGAAATACAATTTCATTTGCCTTTTTTGGATTTATGAAAAAAAAATGAAACTTCCGTAGAATTTAGCCTACATTCCTGAGATTAACTCTGTCTTTAGTTCCCACTCCTCAATAACTGGTGTATAATAACATAAGTGACTTGTTCTTCCTTGAAATGTAGGGCCGCAGAACAATGTTGCCAAAAGACAGTTTCTGCTGGAGAGATTATTGGATGCCGTTAAACAGGTAAGAAGTTGCTTCAGAACACAAAGGGTGCTCCCTAATACAGTGGTGCCTCGCTTAACGAGCCCACTGCATAACGACGAAATCGCATAGCGATCCGTTTTTTCGGATCGCTAATGCGATCGCTCAACGGTTTTCTAATAGGGCAAAATTCACTTTGCGAAGACCAGTAAGCGTTTCGCTTACCGATCTTCGCAAAACGAAGCCCGACTATCAGCTGTTCGGCCCGGAAATGGCCCAAAATGGCAGCGCGCAGCGTTTTCGCGCCCTCGTTAAGCGAGGCGAGGGCGCGAAAATGGCTGCCGGCCATTAAGAAGCTTCGCTGAACGGTGAGTATTTGGCCCATTTGGAACGCATTAAACCATGTTTAATGCGTTCAAATGGAAATCCCTGCCCCGTTCAACGATGCTTCAGCATAGCGAAGGTTAATCCGGAACGGATTAACCTCGCTATGTGAGGCACTACTGTAAGTGGAACTCAATTGGTTAGCATTGTGAATTGGTCACTGTAGCCTATGCATTCGTTATTATGAAATGGAGTAGTGCTTGATATTTTGGCACATGATCTTTGGTCTGAAGACTGATAAACAATAATCAATTAGCCGCCCAGAGTAGACTTGTGTCTAGATGGGCAGGGTACAAATTTAATAAATAAAATAAATAAATAATAGCCTGGATTTAAAATTAGCTTCTGAAGATATTTCACACATTCCTTGTCTGATTATGCAAGGATAGATTTGGTCAGAAATAAGACACTGGGGGAGCACCACAGTGTAATCAACAGAGTGATAGTGGTTATGGTCTCTCTCCTGAATTGAAATGTTGCACCTGCTGTTCTGTTTTATGTGGTGCACGTGTGGAGTCAAGGCAGGAAACCCACAAGTTTCTTGAATCTTCAAATGTTTATTTTGTTTTGTTTTCCTTAGGGCACATTTTGGCCATTCTAAACTGGAAGGTTTGGGGAATAGAGCAAAATAAATGGGTAATAAAAGCAAGTCACAGTTTTAGAACCATTAATATCGTTCTGGAGGACACAGTAAAACAGGGTGCTATGGTAAAAATGTGGGAAGGAGTTCCAAAGACTGGGAGCAGCAACAGAGAAGGCCCTCTCCTGCGTCCCCACCAAGTGTACCTGTGAGGGTGGTGGTACCAAGTGTTATCCTCTTCTGATGATGTTAACACCCGAGCAGGCTCATAAAGGGAGACACAATCCTTGAGGTAACTTGGCCCCAAACCATTTAGGGCTTTATAGCTTAGAACAAGCTCTTTAAATCATGCCTGGATACGGATTAGCAGCTAGTGGAATAATGTACCCTTCCTTCCTTTTCTTTTCTTTTCTTTTCCCTCTTTCTAGTGCCAGATCAGATTTGGAGGAAGGAAGGAGATTGCCTCTGATTCAGACAGTAGGTAAGTCTGAAGTGATGTTGAACAAAAGTTTGTTTAGTAAAGTGTGCAGTTGGCCCAAAACCTAGTGACTTAGCTTCACCTGATAGTTGCTTTTTGGCTTGGCTGAGTTTGGGGAATGGAACGGATTTGTTTGGGTGCTGTTTTGGGTTGTGTAAAGGTAATGAGAGAAATGTACACGCCCTGCAACTCTATTTTAATTAGGGGCATGGGGAGTGAACCCAAGACCTTTCTTCTTGTAAAGCTGATAGATCATGTCTGAGCTATGGCCTGTGACCTGTATTTGTTTTTGTTAAATGAGCTTTATAGTTGCTTAGGTCCCTTTTGAGTTTACTGTGGTTGGAAAACAATTATTTCTAATCATTTTTCTTAAAATAAGCTAGTTCTTCTTGATTCTCTTGAGCTATTTCTAGTGATGGAGAACTTTCACATCCTCCAGTTTCTCTTCTTCATTTAGCAAGAATTGTACTGGTTTTTAAAGTTATTTTTGACTTTGATTTGGGTTTTTTTTGACGACTTTTGAGGCAGAGCTGGGAAACATGTGGTCCTCTAGATATTACTGGGCTGCACCCAACCTGCATCAGCATAGTCAATAGTGAGGGATGATGGGAGTTGCAGTCCAGTAATATTTGGAAGGGTACACTTTTCCCATCCTTGATTGACAGTGTTATTTATGGAGAGACAAACCTGGTCTCATTTCTTGGGCAAAGGAGGATATAATGTTTGGTGCATGCTTTCCTTTTCCCTTCTGTTTTTCTTTTTGTACCATGTCTTATCTTTTAATACATTTACAATGCTTACAGAATTGCAGGCATGTTGTGTGTTAAATAATACTTCACAAGTGAAATAGTGTCTGAGGAGGAAAATGATGTCATGGGCAACTGTTTAAACAGAACCTGGTTGGGCAGTTCTATATGACAGAATTTGAATTTTCATGAAAGCTGATAGCTATATCCTTATGAATGGAATGTGATTGTTGTTTTTCCTTACACATGACAATAGGAAAGGTGTAACTTACTTTTGCTACGCTAAATCCACTTTTCCTAACCTGGTGCTCTGCAGATACTTTGGATTTCATTTCGTATCAGTTTCAGCCTCAGTTAGGTATCCTGGGTGTTATATCAAAACCATCTAGAGATACCAGACTGGAGAAGGCAGCTGTATATGCATGAACTTAAGAGATGCATGAAGTTGAGGAATGGGTAGGAACAGAGAAGGGCTTTCTCTTTTCTACTTTATTGCAATAGTTATTGTAGTCCTTGCACGTTTGATTATCACGTATGATGTACAGTGGTGCCTCGCTTAACGACGATAATCCATTCCAGGAAACTCGCTGTTAAGTGAAAACATCGTAAAGCGAAAATACAAACCCCATTGAAACGCATTGAAACCCGTTCAATGCATTCCAGTGGGCTAAAAACCCACCGTCCAGTGAAGATCCTCCATACGGCGGCCATTTTCGCTGCCTCTATAGCGAGGAATCCGTCCCTAAAAACAGCGGGGAGCCATTTTAATCACCCGGCGGCCATTTTGAAACCACTGATCAGCTGTTAAAAAAACGTCATTTTGCAAAGAATCAGTTCCCGAAGCAAGGAACCAATCATCGCAAAGCGAAATTCCCCCATTCAGACTATCATTCTGGAAAGATTGTCATTAAGCGGATTGGTCGTAATGTGGGGCAGTCGTAAAGCGAGGCACCACTGTAGTAGGAAGACAGCGGCCTTTAATATTACTGGTTTAGACATTATGTAACAGATCTTCTAAGATCAACCTTTTAAATACGCTTCTTTCTATTCCCTGTAATACAAGACTGGATAACATGTGGTTCCCTAGAAGTTGTTAAGGTGTAACTCCAAACAGCTATAGCTAGCTTAGCCAGTGGTGACAGTAGAATTTGGAAAAGATGACGTTGCATTCTGAAAACACATGGAAGACCACAAGCTGATTACTGTTGTTTAGAGATGGGCACAAACTGCTGGTTCAAAGTTTTTTGCTGGTTTGTTTGGTGCTTTGCAGCCTCACATCCTCAGGTAGGAGGATTAGACTTGTACATAATTGAAGACTTCAGGAGGCTGCCATGTTTTTTTTGCTGGTTTCATTTTGGTGCTTTGCAGCCTCATGTCCTCAGGTAGGAGGATTAGACTTGTACGTAATTGAAGACTTCAGGAGGCTGCCATGTTGGGGAATGCTTCCTGACACCTTTTGGCCCATGGATGGAAGCTGAAATGTGCCATTTGCATATGCCAAATCTCTTTTCTCCACTTGTGTATCTAACTCATAAAATGTATGGAACATTTCCCATTTTAAGCCATTGAAGGTCTGTTAACATGGAACAATTCAGCATAAATGAACTTTCCTTTTTCTTGTTGGCCAATGAAAGATAAGCACATGACTCGGAATGCAGTTAAATACCATATTTTCCCGTGTATAAGACACCCCCATGTATAAGACACCCCCGCTTTTTTAACCCCAAATTAAAAAATCTAAGTGGGGCTTAGCAAGTGGAGGGGAAAGCAGGGATCAAAGCCCTGCAGGATCACTTTGATCCCTCCTTTCCCCTCCACTTATTTTTGTTCTTTCCTCAGCTTACTTCTGTGTATAAGACGGCCCTCAAGTTTTGGTCTAAAAGATTTTAGACAAAAGTATAGTCGGTGTAAAAGATTTTAGACAAAAGTATAGTCTTATACATGGAAAAATACGGTTTTTGGTTTGGCCCCACAGAACCTTTGTGAATCTATTATGACTTGCGTATCGTAGGCCATAATTGAGGCACAAAGCATTTAAGAAGCCTCTGTCCACAATTTTGAGTGCATTACTGTGTACGTTTTTAAAAAGTGGAAGTCTTTATGCTTCTGCTCAGTGTTTGCTGAAGTGTTTGGGAAGTGGCTCTCGACTCTTCTTTGAGAGCAGTAGGGACGGCAGTTTGATATTTAATAACAGCGTTCAGGCAGACACGTTCCCATGCTCATAAAATTTAGTACTGGCTTTCGCTAGTTGATGCATATGCATTGAGCATCTAGCCCATAGGCTTTTTCTCCATTTGGTGCAATATTTCTCCCTGAACTAGTATTTTCTTGCAGGGTTACATGCCTCTGTGCTCAGTTTGAATCCGTGCTTCAACATGGTTTGAAAAGGACCCGGGGATTAGCCTTAACAGCAGCAGCAATCAAACAGGCAGCAGGCTTCTCCAGGAAAACCGAGATGGGTAATTTAGACTTCCAATATCCTTGACTTCTTCTCTCTTTTTTTTGGAAAACACTTCAACAGTCTTGTGTGTAAATACCTGGTATGTGTTTTAATTTCGGTAATGATTCTGCAAGGAGAAAAAGCACTGCAATGGGTTGGGTCTAGATTTAGATCTACTTACAGCAGGCTCATTAAAGTTAATGGACTTCTAAGGTTGTTAGAAGTTGCAGTGCAAGACACTCTGTAGGGCTTCAACTGCCCACATCAGTTTGCAAGCGCAAGAAAATTCTGAGGAGCTGGGCTGGTTCGCAGGGCACAGGGTTGGAACCAAGCTTTGCATATATGCTGACAAAAAATTACAAGCCTGTACAATTATTTGTTCATTAACTACATTAGGCTGTTTTATTTTATTTATATGCTGCCTTTCTCCCAGTGAGGGGACCCAAGGTGGCTCATAGTGCTAAAACAAGTAGTGATAAAAACATAATGTTAAAGCAATTTATAATAATATTAACCACCTAGACTAGTAGTGCAGCACCAATGGGTATGATCTATTTAATTACCTACCTACCTAACTACCCAACTAACTAACTACCTAACTAAAGCGCATTAAGCATATAAAAACATTTTATTAAGCAAGGACCAGCAACGAGTGACCCAGTTGTCATTAGTAGAAACCTGTCTGAAGAGGTGGGTCTTCAGCTGGATAAATGGGAGAGCTAAAAGCATGGAAACAGAGGCTTATGCCTCTTAGCAAGCTAAGCAAAAAAAAAATTATTTATTTTTTTAACAAATTGGGTGGCAGGCAATTTGTCTCTCTTCAGCTGGCCTGCTTGCCATTAGAGCTAGGAAGAAGCCGCTAATTTACTCACCTACATAGAATTCTGTTCGTTATAACTACTAGGTGAGTTACAAGCAAGAGTCCGGAAAACCCACAACAATCATTACAAGCAAGTATTTGTAAACTCCTAAGTTCATTAAAAAAATTCCTGAAACCAGTTGGCAAAAGTACCCCTCCTTGCAGGTGATCCAGAGGAGGGAGAGCAGAATGCTCAAGTTATTGTTGTACTGGTGTCAGCCAGATATGCAGTAAGCATGCTCCCCAAGGAGGCAGCCCATTGACTCAGTTGCCTGCCTAGAACTCAACGATAACGGCAATTATTGCCATGGTAAGGGCAAATGGCCTCTCCCAATTTGAAGAGACACTTGTACAGCAGGCCGAGGCAAAGAGGCAGTCCCGAAAGCAGCAAAACCAGGGAGCTGGACAGGGGACAGATTGTATTTGTCTTCACTGTGGAAGAGATTGTCACTCTCGAATTGGCCTTCTCAGCCACACAAGACACTGTTCCAAGACCTCCATACAAAGCACGTTATCGTAGTCTCTCGAGACTGAAGGATGCCTACAAAAAGGGCAAATAGGTCTCTGAATCCTTCATGGATTTGTCTCTGTTGAAACCGATTTCTAAAATACTGAAGCCTTCTTTCTGAATCTATACTTTTTCAGAGCCCATGTTCTGGTACTACGTGAAAGAGGTTCTTAATAAGCATGAGCTGCAACGCTTCTACTCCCTGAAGAATATCACCTCCGATATTGGCAGGGGCCGTGCCTGGCTGCGCTGTGCGCTGAATGAACATTCCTTAGAAAGATACTTCCACATGCTGCTGGCAGATAAAACTTGTCTTGGGTAACGTGGATTTTTATGCTTTCCTGATGGGTAAATATGTGTTGGCAAAGCAAGTTGAACTGCAATAATAGGGAAGGATGATGTGAACACAGCATTCGAGGAGAACTGAAATGGATTAATTACTTGTTTGATGTTGTGAAATAGCAGGAGAATTGGATTATCATTTCAGACATTTAGGAGCCTGAAGGATTCCAGTACAGCCTTCTTTATAAGTGACAGAGTGCTTTGTTTTACTTTAATATGTAGTTCACAATGCACAGGATGTGTAACTATTTCTTATGGTTCTTAAATCCCACTCTCCTTCTCAGGGGCTAAATTCAGTTCTAAGATTTCTTACCCCTATTTCTAACTTGATTTCTCTAATTTTTTGATATCTGTATTCCCAGGCCAGTCTGTTTTTTTATTTAAAAAGGTAAAGGTTCCCCTTGACAATTTTTGTCCAGTCGTGTTTGACTCTAGGGGGCGGTGCTCATCCCCGTTTCCAAGCCATAGAGCGAGCGTTTTGTCCAAAGACAATCTTCTGTGGTCACGTGGCCAGTGCGACTTAAACACGGAACGCTGTTACCTTCCCACCGAGGTGGTCCCTATTGATCTACTTGCATTTGCATGCTTTCGAACCGCTAGGTTGGCGGGAGCTGGGACAAGCGACGGGCGCTCACTCCGTCGCGTGGATTTGATCTTGTGACTGCTTGGTCTTCTGACCCTGCAGCACAGGCTTCTGCGGTTTAGCCCACAGCGCCACCACGTCCCTTGTTTTTTTTATTTAATCTAGTGTTATTCATTCCAGTCAGCGGAGCTTCTTTAGAATGTCAGAGGTTTCACCGTCACTAGAGTGACATGGCTACCCCTTCTACAATTGATTCTTCAATGAAGGATGCCAGATATTGAGCCTTGATGTTCTTGTTGGCAAACACAGTGCCTGACCACTGGGCCTTGGCAGATCTTAGAAAAGTTACTTTTTCCAGACTACAACCTCTAGAATCATTCAACCAAGATGGCCATGCTGGCTGGGTGGGTGGGTATGATTATTGTCAGAAAAATAACTTTACCAGGCTCTGAGTTGCAGTCCCTCCCTCACTGAGGTTGGTTTGATGCTTCCTTATTCCAGCCTTCAAAGGGACGTGGTGGCGCTGCGGGCTAAACCGCAGAAGCCTGTGCTGCAGGGTCAGAAGACCAAGCAGTCGTAAGATCGAATCCACGCAACGGAGTGAGCGCCCGCCGCTTTGTCCCAGCTCCCTCCAACCTAGCGGTTCAAACGCATGCAAATGCGAGTAGCTAAATAGGGACCACCTCGGTGGGAAGGTAACAGTGTTCCATGTCTAAGTCGCACTGGTCTTGTGACCACGGAAGATTGTCTTCGGACAAAACGCTGGCTCTATGGCTTGGAAACGGGGATGAGCACCGCCCCCTAGAGTCGAACACGACTGGACAAAAATTGTCAAGGGGAACCTTTACCTTTACCTTTATTCCAGCCTTCACATGCTTTTTCTGCTCATCCCTTTTCTTTTTGCCCTCAGTTTCTGAGGGTGATAGCGAAGGTTATATTCAAAGCTCTCTTTCAGTCTCTTTAGATAATGCTGATGACACATGTGCCAATTTTCAGCATTTATTTATTTATTTATTTCATTTATATCCCGCCTATCTGGTCGGGTCAGGACCACTCTAGGCGGCTACCAGTTTATAGTGAGAATTTATAAAGGTAAGATTCTTTTGTGTATATAGTTTTGTTTAATTTTTTTGTAACCTTTGTCTTCTAGTGTCTTCTATGAAGACTGGGCCTTCATAATGGATGAAGAACGCTCAAGTATGATTCCCACTATGGCAGCTGGTAAGGATAATTTGTTTGTTCTAATTAGGGATAAGAAGAAGAAATCCTGCTAATGTCTTGCTTAGGGTTGTCTCAATGCAGAGAGTCAGTCTGTCAAGGATTCCCAAGCACCCATGAGAGATATCAACTACAATGCCAGATTGAGATGCCAAGCTTTAGTTCATTGCAGTTTGTTCAACTTACACAAATGTCTCCGGTGTCTTTTCCCTTTTGGAAATGAAGAACACAGACAGACAGTAAGCATGGAGGGGCAGGTTGTTGCTCACAGAAATGCAAGTAAATAATCTGAAACTCACACTTTCTGAAAACCCTCACAATGATGCAGAAGATGAAAAAAAAATAAACAAAAGTTCACCATCTTGAAAGAAGGAAGTGTTTTTGTGCTTTCTCACTGAGGAAGAATCTGGCTTTGATCTTACAGCCCTGTTTATAACGATGGTTAACTTTTAAAGAGGTAGCTGTTAGGAAAAAAAATGTTTTTTTGTGCTTTGCTAAAATTGAAAGACCATAGCTTGATTGTAGAGCCATGCTTTGTACGATTAATGATATAGGTTCAATCCTTGATATCCTCGGTTCTGTGCGAGACTCTTATATTTTGCTGCCAGTACAACAGAGCAAGTATTGGCAGAAAATAGATGCCGATAAGTCTTTGAGTAGTCTTTAGAACAAAACGGTTACTTTTTCTATGCTGTTTTCTTATCCTTCAATAGAGATAGCAAAAATCTCAGTTGAATTCCAAACATAAAACTTGCTATGGTATGTGATGGCCGGGCTGGGGAAATCTGGGAGTTGTAATCTAGAAAAGTAACTTTTCCAAGATCTCATAGCACAGGTGTGGTTGCATTTGTCACTGTTTTGCATCTAGCTGGAAGATCTCAGGGTTCTAATAAAAATCAAAGTAAATCTTATAAACCTGAAATCTGACTAAGCCAAACAGACTGCTATGGTACAGTAGCTTCCTATATTTCTCTGTGCAGTAATGCTGGCTCTGTATTATTCCTGTGGTCTAAATCCAATTGCTAGTCCCAGCAGAGTGGAGCCTTTGTTTCTATGAGATGTGTCAGCTTGCAAAATACCGCTGATACAGTTGGTGTCCTTTAGGCCTAATGAATTATGTTGTATCATGGATTTATATTTTATTTTTTATGCTTCTCCTAAGGACTGAATTCTATTCTTTTTGCAATCAACATTGATAACAAAGATTTAAACGGGCAAAGCAAGTGCACACCTACAGTTTCTGATCTTCTCAAGGAATCTACACAGAACGTAACATCTTTGTTGAAGGAATCTACCCAAGGCGTTAGCAGCCTCTTTAGAGAGATCACCGCGTCTTCGCCTGTTTCCATTTTAATTAAATCAGATCAAGATGTGGACCCTTTGCCCATTCTATCAAAGAGCGTTAGTAGTGGTAAGTAGTACATAAGACGGCAGTACGTACTCACAAGCGTAGCCATGTTTCAGGGCAATGAACTTGTACAGGATGGGGTCATGTTTTTGAATACTGGAAGTTCTTGATTGTAAAGTTAATTTGGTCTCCAGGACAGTATTTTGTCTATTCACACAGTTATTTTCTTGGTTATTGAACACAGGCAACCCATTTGTGCGGCGCACAAGGTCAGAAGAATACCCTGTTGAAATAAACGCCAACTTGGTTCCCAATGAGGGGAGAGGGGCTGGATAAAAAAATAAATGAATGTACATGTAATAAACATGCTACAGGCTGGTTAATTTGTTGTTTTCTGTTTGCAAGAGATTGAGGCTGTATTCGCATCTTGTTCTAAACAAGAGTAAGACATTGGCTGTGATTCTCTATTTGTGCAAAACTATCTTTTGAAACAGGGAGAAAATTCCAGAGGCCTGGACACAGAAAATGCCTCCTTTTCCTCCTGGCATCCCCAAGGTCCCCTTGATACTTGCCCCCCCCCATTAACTTAAAAAACCCTTCAATTGTCTCTCTAGTGGGAGGCAATTTTGTCACATTTCCCCAACTGGTTTTGGGCCTATTGGGATGAGGGTTCATAACCGGAAATGGCCAGACGTCCGTTGCAGTTTGGAAGGGGGAAGGCTCCTTAAATGCTGCAAGCATTGGGAGGTGACGGTGGGTTTGCTGAGGGGCTTTGTTTTAAAAACCTCCTGTGCCCTTTTTTAGCAAAGTTGGACTGGAGGTCACTTCAGGCTTCTCAGCTGAGATTCATTTCAAAGGCTTAACTGGATCACATGTCTTGCAAGAGCTTGCAACTTAATGCAAACAAGGATCTGCTTTGAGAAAAAAATTTCAGTCATCTAAAAATGGCAGCTAATTAAGTTTAGAATTAATTTGGATCAGGCACCCCATTCAGTTATTTCTTTTTTCTATTTTTTTCCCTCATTGCCTGGTGTGCTTTTGAAATTATGCTAATGCTCAAAGGCGTGTTGATTGAACTGCAAAACGTTTTCTTTGAAAAAACTTTTAGGGGAAAATTTCAGGGCCACTCCCTGAAGCTGTGGCATAGATAAGTCTATTTAATACTTTGAAGAGATGTAGTAGTGAGAGTGTTGGTTAGAGAATACGAGATTTAGGTACCTGTTCATCCATGAAACTCACTGTGCAATCTTGGGCCAGTTGCATGTTGTCGTAGAGATGGGGGTATTCATAGATGAGTACGAATATCCCCGCACAGTTGGCGTTAATGAGGGTCCAGCCCATGGACGCAGACAGCGCAGTTCTACGAACAGCTCTGCAGCACGCGATCTGCTCGCTACTCCTGGCAGGAGGCGGGAGGACAAGCCTCACAGCAAGGTCAAAGAGTGGCGAGTGGATCGCGCACTGTGATGCCATTGGTAGAACCATGCTGTCCGTGTCAGTGGCGGATGTCATGAGTGCAGCCGAAGACCTGGAACCAGAAGGGTTAACTGAGGCTGAAGAGAATGCTGAGAGATCAGAAACACCTGAACCGCCTCCAGGTTGTCCTTCCCCAGCAGACAAGCTTCGGGCCAGGCTTCGGGGAAGACTTAGGACAAAAAGGTCAGAGGATCACTCAAAGGCTGTCCACAGAAGTATCCGTTCAACTAGCCCTGAGTATTGACAGGATGGAAAGGTTTCCAGCAGCTCAAGGAACTGTTTTACTATAAAACAGCTCCTAGCCAGCCAGAATTTCTGTGGAAGCAACGAGTCAAAACCCCTGGCTTGCATCCATACTTCTTGAACCGTGTTCCTGACTCTGGACTCTGACCCTGGACTATGCTGTGTATCTGACTCTGGACTCTGACCTTGGACTGCATTCTGTGAGTTGGTTTATGGACTTTGGCTTTGCATTCTTGGTATTCCTGACCTTGGATTGGTTTATCAGACTTTGGCTGTTGTAACCCACGGGAACGTGACAGCGGATTGGTGAGTGGACCATCTGGCCCCATGGGGCTGGACCTTTGTTAACGCCACCTGTGCAGGTGTATCTGCATCTCTAGTTGTCAGTCTCACTTAGAGGTGGGCAACGCACAAACACCAGGGGGCTCCAGTGCAGTTCTCCAGAACTCCTGTGGCCCTCTCATAACGGCTACACCCCAATTCTTACTTTTTAAAAAATGGCATTCTTTTTTGCTATGTTATTAGGAAGCCCCCAGCACCCTGGGACACCACACCAGACAATCCCAGTAAGCTTTTAATTCAGCTCCTTCCCCACCGAAAATCATTTTTGACTGCAGGAAGGTACAAAGGAGGCCATTTTGGAAAGTTTTGCTTTTTTGTGGGGAGCGGGGCCATGGGGTGTAGCCTTCTAAGATCCAGGGACCTCAGTGCCACCTGAACGGCTGAATGTTGCTCACTCTGGTTGTGATTTATTTGATCAGGTTGTTAAAAGGATCACATGAAAAGAGGAAAAGAGCTTAGGATGCTACCTAGGGCTCATCCTAGGAAAGTCAGGCTAAACCAGAGGTAGATATGTCCATGAACAGAATGAAGCCTTGTAAACTACTCTTACTTCCCTTCCCTTTGCATATAAACTGCTGTGTTCTGAAAAAAGAAACAATATACTCTATTTTTCCATGTATAAGACTATATTTTTATCTAAAATCTTTAGACTAAAAATTGAGGGTCATCTGATCCATGGAAATAAGCTGAGGAGAGAACAAAAACAAGTGGAGGGGAACGCAGGGATCAAAGCAATCCTGCAGTGCTTTGATCCCTTTCCCCCTGCACTTTCTAAGCCCTACTTAGATTTCTTAATTTTGGATTAGAAAAGTGTATGGGGGTTTTATACACAGAAAAATACGGTATTTTATTGGAAAGCTGACTTTTTAAAGAAGTTCTCTGTGTTGAAAAATCTTCCGTTTTTCATATTTCTGCTGCCCAGACTTCAAATGCAGGAAAGATCGCATGAAGAAGAAGAAGAAAGTCACAAACATTATTTCATTTGATGACGAGGAAGATGGACAAAACTTGGGGGATGTCTTTCAGGCGACAGTTCTGGGTGAAAGCTCCGAAGAAAACTCCGACAGATCTTCTGCGTGCATCACTTCTCCCTCCTCTGACTTGGCAGTTAAAATGAATGGGGACCAGAGTTTGCCTTTATTGAAAAATGATTCCATATATTTAAATGGAGAATGTTGTTTCCCAAAGCTGGATGTTAAAAGTATAGATGACGAAGATTTGGAGGAAAACGATGAACCTTACAGAAAAATATTAGGAAACCGAAGTATGGCAGAAGATACACAGGCTTGTGAGAAGTGAGTATTCCTTTGGACCAAGAGATGTTTTACTGTTTTACAGTGTTAGTCAAGAGGAATAGCTGGCCAGCTAGTCCAGTCAGTTGGCTGCAGAGCCAGGGAGCAGGAGTTGAATTCATCATGATGCCTTTACATTATGTGACCTTTGGCAAACTGAATACTCCCAGAGTGTTGACAGAAACAAGGTGTAATAAACCAGTTCTCTGCACTAGGGAAAAGGGTAGCCATGAATCAGAATTGATTTAATGGCATGTAATTATAGTGAATGTTTCAAAGACTTCTAAGGGTGGGTTTAGTATAAGTGACTTGCCCTTGAGTAGGGTGAACTGGCTGCCACAGGCAGCAGCCTATGAAGGTCAAGAAAAGTAGCCATTCGTTGCTGTTATTATAGTTTTATTGCCAGGAATGGGGAATCTGTCTCTTGTGTCCAGATAACTTGCCTATCATGCACGTTACTTGGGAAAGCGAATGTCTGTAAGTGTGGAGTTTGCTAGCCCACCTCAAGTAGCAAAATGTGATGGGCTGGCTTTGTCCGGAAGGCCTCATCTAGCATACTGTGTACGTACAGTTCTGGACATCACGCTTGAAGAAGGATGCCCACAAATCAGAGCAAGATCAGAGGAAGGCAACAAGGATGATCAGGGGACTGGAAACCAAGCCCTGTGAGGAAAGACTGAAAGAACTGGGCCTCTTTAGTATCGAGAAAAGAAGACCGAGAGGAGATATTATCACATGTTTCAAATATTTGGAAGGTAGTCATGCAGAGGAGAGGCAGGATCTGTTCTTGATTATTCCAGAGTGCAGGACATGTATTAATGGGCTCAAGCTACAGGAAACCAGATTTAGGCTGAATATCATGAAAAACTTCTTAACTGTTAGAGCAGTACGACAATGGAACCATTTACTTTGGGAGGTGGTGAGTGCTCCAATGCAGGAAGCATTCAAGGAAAACTTGGACAACCATCTCTCCAATCTGCTTTGATTTGGGTTCCTGCACTGAGCAGGGGGTTGGACTTGATGGCCTTACATTGGGTTCCTCAACCCTCGTTCTGTGGCCTGGTGCCAGTCCATGGTCATGTTAGGACCGGGCCACGAAGACCCATCTCCCACCCCCCTGCACACACTCCACCCATGCACTCCACCCATACGCACGGGTGCCCCGCTCACCCACGAGTACACCCCGCCCATCTGTGCATGTGCAAGAGTGCACCCCGCCGATCCACAAGCACGCCCCGCCCACCTGTGCATGGACCACCCCCCCCAACTGTGGCTCCTGGGATTTGAAGTTTGCTGAGTTACATAAAATTCTTTGCATGGGATAGCTGTAGTAGATTCTCTTCAATTACAGAGAATTCTTAAGTATCTCACCAAACTACAAACTACAAATAGCCGCCTAGAGTGGTTGAAATGACTAGATAGGCGGGGTATAAATACAACCAATCAATCAATCAATCAATCAATCAATCCTAAGACTCCATGAGATAGAACCATGACAGTAATATCAAACTGTTGTAACTGTATAAAATAGATTCACTCTTAAAACAATTGTATAAATCTTTCCTTTGTTTTTGCCCTCCCTCTCCTGTTTCCCCCAGTTTTAACTTTTTGACTTAAAAGGCTAGAAAAAGGAACCTGAGCTATTCAGGCAGTGGGTGGGCACGCTGCTTATCACAGCACAGATCTCCCCCCCCCCCCCCCCC